GGTAATGGCTCAGAAACTAAAACAAGTCCATGAATATTACCAGTACTACCAGTTTGAGATTTTTTATATGAAAGTAAGGGAATTTCTCCTCCTCCTTGTAACTGCTTTTCAACTTCTACAATAATTTAAATACACATATGTATAAATTCCTTATCTTTATTCTTTACATTTGCATACAAATAGATTATTTTACCTTCTGTAATACTAGATTCTTGAAACATATTTTCAAGAGAATGATGAATTTCTTTAAAAGTTGGCCTATCAACAGCAGACCACTGCCAACATTGGCGCATCAATTCATATACTTTTGGTGGACACCCAGGAGGACATTCCATTCTGTAACCTTTTTCCAACATATGATACACATCTGTCAAATCGACACCAGGATAAGGAGACATTCCATATGTTGCTATTTCCCAAAGTAAAATTCCAAATGCCCATACATCAGACTATAAATTTAAATTACAAATATAATATGATTAATTACACAATATTATCCACAATATATTATCTACAATATATTATGGATTATAAAAAAATTGTTTTACCTTTGTAGAAAATTTATTATATGCTAATCCTTCTGGAGCAGTCCATTTTATAGGGAATTTCGCTCCAGCATGAGCCGTGTACGTATCATCTCTCATCAACCGAGCCAAGCCAAAGTCTGCGACCTTTACCAGATGATTTTCACCCACTAGGCAGTTTCGAGCCGCTAAATCTCTGTTTCGAAAGTCGCGATGTTAACGCGAGCTCGTTTCTTAAGAGGAGAGGATGAAATTTAAAACATTTCTCTTAACTAAGTGAATGTATTTTTTCATGCAGAATATGTGTAGCATAATGATTACTGTAATCTGTCATTACTTTTTCAAAAATTCTTGTGATGTAAATTTTTTTTTAAAAACAATTATTTACAAAAAAAATACATTGTAATGTAACAAATGTAATGGTTTACTTTTAGCCATAATACAAACTATCTTAGAACTAATTCTTTATTCACGAAACTATACTATTTTGGAATAAGTAGTTATAGTTTGTGAAATAAAAAAGATTAGTAGTTTATGATAATTATTATGTGAAAAAGTGAACATTATTCTTATGTACTTTATTTGTTATATCTTTTTAATATACACAAAAATTTCAATACCCTCTTTCCCTTTCTTTTCCCCATAAATTTTAAATTTGCTCAAAATTCTGAAATGAATACATTATTTTTTAATGAAAATAGTATATGATAAATTCATTTCATGTAGAATTATGGATATGTAGAATTAAATTATAAAAGAATCAAAATATATTTTTTTATATAAACTAAAATTAAATCACTTATAAAAATAATTATAAATAATAAATAAAATAACATTTTAGAAATTAAAACAAAAAAATTAAAAAATTAGAATAAAAAAATAGCAATAAAAATATTTTTTTTTCTTACAAAAAAATTTTTAAAAACATTGATATAAATATATTATACAAAAACATGCATTTTTATTCAATTATTAAGGAATACCTATGAATGAAATTTCTGCTTTCCAAATAACTCATTCCACTGGCGATTTGTGTAGCCATATGCATCAAAACCACAGCATTGATTTGATGTTTGCTTTCATTTCGTAAGTAGTCTAATAGATTCCCTTTGCTCATGAATTCTGTAATAATGTAAAAAGGTGGTTCTCGAGTACATACACCTAATAACTGAACTAAATTTCTATGCTTCATTTCCTTCATAATTGCTGCTTCCTCCAGAAAATCTTTTAGAGCCATTGTGTCCTCCTATAAAATAAAAATAAATTAAAATAATATAAAAAAATATAAAAAAACAATAATACTAATTAATTAATACTATTAATAATCAATACATTAAAAAATTGACCTTTAATGTTTTTACTGCCACAGTCATATTGTATCTCTTCCATACAGCTTCATAAACATCTCCATATTGTCCACCACCTAATTTATGTCTCATAACAATGTCTGTTCTATTAATTTCCCATTCATCAGGTTCTAAAAGAATAATTTTAATTCATTTTAAAAATTGTATTTATTATTTTAAATTGTTATTATTTTATATATACCTGGACTAAGAGGAAAAACAGTAGGCTTATTGTGCTTTGGTGCAGGATAAAGTAATTGTGTAATTAAACCATCGGCAAGCATTGAATGATGATGTACTAATTCTGCCAGAGTGTTAAACTTGCTTTCAGTTGTAACAAACATCTAAAATATTAATATTTTATAATACTATTTATATTTTAGCATATTATTAATATTAATATATATATAAAATGTCATACCTTTCCTTCACTGTCTTCATTAATTCTGTAGTGGTATACTCTACCTTCATATCGTAGAGAAATACTGCGTTGACCTGGACTGCTTTCTGATTCACGAACTAAAAAGCTACCATTTATACCAGAACTTAATAGATATTCAGCAGCATTTCTACATATCCTTCCATGATACCAAGAATGTTTCTCAAGTGAATTTACTGGTGTGACATAATTTGAAGGAACCCATCCTACTTGACCAGTACTTGAATGAGCTTCACACCATTCTCCACTTTTATTATAACTTAGAATACGAACTTGTTCTCCTGAATTTAAATAATTTATAATATATGATATAATTTTTTTTAAAAAATACAAAATATACATGTATAAATGTGATTATGTATTTATAAATATATATCTATACAAAATAATTACCTTTTTTAAGACTTAGTTGATTCTCTCCACCTGCTTGGAAATCATATAGAGCAACAAATAATTGGGGATCATCTTCTTCTTGTGCTAATAGATTTTCTTTACTAGTCCATCTATAATATAATTAAATATTATACTTTAAATTATATGTAATATATGTATATAAAAAAATAATAAAATTTATTTATATATTTTATTATATATTTTTCATATTTTATGTTATAAAAAATAAAATTTAACCTGTTTGCAGCCTCTAAAAGCCCAGCAGAAGAAACTCCAGTATGTTGTTGAATATTCATTTGTTGTGAAATTGGCTGAATACCGGATCCATTTGGAGGATCACCATCTGGTAATGCCGGAATGTGAGGTAGCGGTCTGCTTTGTAAAAGAGCTTCTGCACAACATTATATGAAATTTAATAAAATATAATATCAATTTAATATTTTTCATTTTTAAATTTTTATTTTAACAAAACATTATACAAATTTAATTAATATTTTTTTTACATATAAATATTTTATAAATATGTTTTAAAAAAATATTATCTTTTAAGATTATTTATTTTCTTTATTATTGTATATAGATATATATATAATTAAACACATTAAATTAATAACAATATATTAATATTTTAAATATTATATTAATATTTTAAATTTATGAAAATATTAAATTTATGAAAAATTATGAAAATACTACATAAAAACAATTTATATAATAAAAAATATTATTATTATATTTTGAAATATAAATTTATACATAAAAAAATTTATAATATAAATAGATACTATTTTATTTGTTGTAATAAATTAAAAATTTAATTAGATTGGTATTAAATAACATAACAAATTCATTTTTACAAAATTATAATAAAAAACTAATTATTAATAATCAATAATCAATTTGATAAAAAAAATAATATATAATATATAAACATAAGTATATATATTAATTATATAATTAAATAATTATTTTTAATAGTTTCTGCATATCATTTATAATTTTATTTTATTTTATATTCTTTTATATTCTTAATCTGCAATAAAGCAAGTGCATGAACGTAAGAGAGAAACTAGCGGAAAGAGGGGAAGAAAGTGTGAGGAAGAGACGTGGAAAAAGAGACGGAAGTAAGAAAGAAATAGAAGATAAAAAATGAGAGAGTGAAAAATAAGAGAAGAAATTACCGCTATGCTCCGTAAATATATTAGAACCAACAAGACGGGATTCCTTGAGGTTTCTTGGCTGTTTGCGTGTTTGTCGCGCAGCAGAGCCGACAGGAACAATTCTTTCCTTAGTCTGTTGAGCACCCATAGTTTCCGAATTGGCATGCCCTTAGATTAATCCCGGCCGCAAAACTGCCGGGGCCGTTCACTCGGCACATTCACTTTCGGTTTGACAGTTTAACTCCCGATCGCATCTCTCGCCGGCCTCTGCCGACGACGAGAATACACGAGATTCACGAATCTCACTGCAACGCGAACCTTCTATTCACATTTTTGATCAGCATTCAAGATCGACATTCTCGCCATGTTTGACAGCTTCGACGTCGACGATAGCTCGATTCGTACCGTACTGTTTACTACTTTTACTTACCACCAGAGTCATTTCTGTATCCTCATTGGACAATCAATTTCTTGAACAAAAATTTCATTGGTCAACAGTTTTGTTGACCGATAACATCATCTGAAGTCTGTTCTTTATTATTTGTTTCCCTTCTTATTTTATTTGCTTGCAAATACTTGTATTTATTGAAAGAAACAATTAACGTTTTAACACAATTGCATACTTATTAATATTAATAATATTAAATTAAAAAAATTTAATTATTTTTTTTTATCAATATAAATTATTTTTTTATACATTTATCTTATTAAAATTGTTTTTAATTTATTATGAATTTATTATATTCTATATTTTTTTTATCCATAGAAATAATAATAAAAGGAAATTATTTATAATATTTAATAATATTTGTTAATATAACTAAAAATATAAAATATGAAATACATTAAAACAATATGTAAAAAATATTTATAATAGAGTAACATAAATATTAATTACTGTAACATAAATATCATATTTTATATTCAATTAACAATTATATTTTGTAATATTATAATCATATTATATATAATTTAATCTATATATATATATAGTATTAAGTTAAAAAGTGCCATGGTTTTGGAACACAGCCAATGCTTACAAGATACGTCAATGACTGAAGCGACGGCAGCGCGATATCGGAAATCCGAAGTTATTACGAATAATACGGAAAATCCCGAGAATTGCCGAAGCGATTCAGTGACGTCATGCTGAAGCAGAAGAGATAAGACAGTCAAAAAAGTGAAGTTCTGTTTTCTAATATATCCGCATTTTGTGTAGATATCTTTGTTTGCTACGTGATTTCAAAAAATGTCGTACGCATACCTTTTCAAGTACATCATCATTGGAGATACAGGTAATTATCTAATGTTTTCACAAAAGCAAATGTTAAATGATTTTTACATTCTACACTACGTCGACCGTGACAGGGCCCATTGTTTTCGTTTCTTTGAACGATAATATTTGTGATTCGTAAATCTTTATAGCATTCCTATAGATTACAATGTATATGCTTTATATTAACATTTAATACGAACTCAATATATGATTTGATATATCATTTATACACACAATTACTTTCATATAATAATTTTATCAACTTAAAAAGTGTTTTATTTTTTTATTTAGAACTGATCTATTGTAGAATAAACACAATATTATTTAAAATTGAGATTAGATATTATAATTGAACTTGTTTTAAATATTTATATGACATTGTTATTGACTTGTTTACTTTTATATTATAAATTTTATAAATGTATAAATTTTATAATATATCTTTGAATAATATAATGTATCCTTTTGTTTTAATGTGAAGTAAATCTTTAGCTATAAATAAATATATTTTATATAAAATTTAATTATATATTTGTATTCAAACAATTCATAGCATATGTATATTATTTACATTTATTATTATTTATAATTTTATAAAAACATGATCAATTTATATCAATTATTTATTATAAGAATTATTATTTTTTTTTAAATAGGAGTTGGAAAATCTTGTCTACTTCTACAATTTACTGATAAGAGATTCCAGCCTGTTCATGACTTAACAATAGGTGTTGAATTTGGTGCTCGTATGATTACAATTGATGGAAAACCAATCAAACTTCAAATTTGGGATACTGTAATTATTTATTTTTTTAAATAAATTGTAAAAAAATATAAATAACATCTATATAATATTAAGTTTTTATAAATTAATATAATAATGAGTTTTTTAATTTTTATAATTTTTATAAGAAACTATAATTACTAATTTAAGTAAATTCAATTTATAGGCAGGTCAAGAAGCATTTCGTTCTATTACACGATCATATTATCGTGGAGCAGCAGGAGCTTTATTAGTATATGATATTACACGTAGAGAAACATTTAATCATTTGACTACTTGGTTAGAAGATGCAAGACAACATTCGAATTCTAATATGGTAATTATGTTAATTGGTAATAAAAGTGATCTGGATAATAGAAGAGAAGTACGAAGAGAAGAAGGTGAAGCTTTTGCAAGAGAACATGGACTTGTTTTTATGGAAACTAGTGCCAAAACAGCAATTAATGTAGAAGATGCATTTATTAATACAGCAAAAGTAATTTATGAAAAAATTCAGGAAGGTGTATTTGACATAAATAATGAGGTAAAATCAAAATTACAGTTAAAAATTAAATCATTATTATTATATTATATTTTTACTTATTATTATTATTATTAAACAAATTTAAAATGTATTTAGGCAAATGGTATCAAGATTGGGCCACAACATTCACCAACAAGTCCTAGTGGATTAGCAGGTACTGGTGGTCAAGGAAATACGCAAGGTGGTGGGTGCTGCTAGGGGCTGGGGGTTGCCTGTCCACCGCTTCATCCTTCTCCAATTTAAATTAATCTTTAATCTTTTTACTCCTGCTCCTCATTTTATTCTCAACCAATTACTTTGTATATTTTTTGCGTGTGTCGCATCATGAGGTAACAAGTGACTCTATTGATGTATTTATTATTTAAAAAAAAAACATATACATACATTAAATAGGAATATTATAAGGGAAAATGTTATATATATTGCTTAAATCATGAAACCTAATAAAGTTTTAATTTACAGATTCTGGCTAATGTAAATTTATTAGTTTTAAATAATGTTTCTCATATGCTTTGTATACTTAATTCATTTGTATAGCAATATAGTAATGTTAGATTTTTAGTTGCATTCATAAAATAGTTGAAGCTTTTAGCATATACAGATAATTTTATTTTTAATGTTAGAAAGAAATAAATAATATTTTATCAATACATTTCTATATTAAATTTTTATTTATCTATATTATCTATATATTTAAAGTTTTATAATTCTAGTTATAATATGTTAAAAATTCGAGGAACAAATTGATTACAAATTGGATATTGATCAAGCGGGAAAGGATAGGCACTTATATTTAATATTTTGTATTTGTTCACATTGTATATTGTATGTATTGTGCACTGATCTGATTTAATTTAATAATGAATTACATTTAATATATATATATATTTATTATATATATATAAATCAAAGTGATTTGTCAAAGATATGATTTACACTTGACTACCTAAAGTGACACCATGTATATGTATGTATCAATGTATGAAATGACGAATATATAAAAACATATAAATCAATTTTTTGAGGCCTATTTAACTAAATATCTTATTACTTAATTAATTATGTAATTGGTATTGTTATTTTTGGTGTATTTTGGAAAAAGTATTCTAATTGTATGTAAATTATAATTTGTATATTTAAGTAAATACAATTATACTAAATTTTAATTTAAATTTTAGTTATTTTAAGAAAAATTCTCTAATTATCTAACCAAATAACCATGAGTAGTAATACCAATGAAAAATATAAAAAAATAATGCTACCTATATTTTGTCCATTTAAATGTAAAAATAAACATCATATATATACATTCTTATTTTATGATTATATGCTTAATATTTTTAAATATATGGAAATATATTTAACTATGAAAGATTTCAATATAAAAATTAAAGAATATTTTATAAAAAAATAAATTTATTTATTCATTACAAATTTTTTATATCAATATATTGCAATTTTCAATTAAATTTATTTTTAAAACATTTTATGATGTTTACAATAAATATAGATTTATGTATATAGTCTAATGTCAAATGAAGGTGAAAATTGAAACATACTATCATGATATGTACTTAATTTTTATACTCGTTTAATACTAAAGTTATTGTATTATTCTTAGAACATATATATCAATTTGAAGAAATTATTATTTATTAATTGCTATTATTAAATATTGTAAATGCATGATATTGTCTATAGTAAATTTGACATAATTTTTTGATCAAAATATACATACATATCAAATATTTCATTTTGTTTTATTTAAAAAATGTATGTGTCCAATGATTGATTTGTATTGTTTACGATATTTAATATATATGTATTTTAAATTGAATCTATAAAAAATTATAATATATTTTACATATATTTTAGCAATAGAAGATCTAGTGACTTGCTATGAAAATTTATCAAATCTTGCTATGATTATCATATTTATCATTTTTTTTTACTTTTGATTTATGATTACCATATTTTAAAATATACAATAATGATAATGATAATTAATTAATTATTTTTTAATTAAATATAGTGAAAAATAAAATTATAATATAAAAAATTTAAAAAATAAAAAATATAATATATAATAATTTAATATAATTTAAATTATTTTATATCAATTTTTATTTGCTACATTAGAAAAAACCATAAAATAAATGTAATAAAAATACAGATTATATATTATATTATATTATATATTATAATTTAAATGAATAAAAAATAATAATAAATTATTAATGAAATAAAATTATATTCAATAATAGAAATTAATATAGAAATATATTATAGATATAATTAATTAAGATTCATTTTTTTATATTTATTTACAAATTATTAAGAAAAAATAAACAATTGTATTAAATATTATTTATATTTTTAATATACTAGAGATTTTAATATCATTTGATATTAATATTAATAAATTTAATATTAATGTATTATTGTATTATAATATAAAATTATGACAGAACAGAATTTGAAAGAAGAAAAAAAGATTAAAAACTTTATACCGGAAAAAGATAAGTAAGATATGAACAAAGTGATAATGATATTACGGTAAGCATAAAACAAAGATGAGATAACAAAAACACTAGAATTTAATAGATCACTTAAGTGAGTAAAATATGAAAATAAATGTCATTTTAAAAATAATTTTATGCCAATGAATTTTATGAGTTATATAGCTACGCCATTGGAAGTGCGCTTGAAATAGCGGTTTGATGCTAAATGCACGCTACTTCTATTCCAAGCGATTCACCGTATTCCATCGTACACGCGACGGGAAGCACGTATTTATTTCGTATTTGGGACAAATTTCGATTTGTTTATTAATAACACTATTTGTCATTTTTTAATTTTTTTATTGTTATCTTTAATATTTATCTATCATATCTAATCGTTGAATCCATGCACTTACATATCGATGCAGTTTTAATATAGTTATTAATTAAAAAAAGTCAGTTAGAATAATTCATTAATTATTTGCCGCACTTTTCAAAGTTAAAAGCATTAATATTTAAAAAAAGTGTTAGTGCGCATTTATGAAGTTTCCGTTTATCATAGCCGGATCTATGCTACGTAATCTTTTGAAATAATTCGTGTATTGACGAAGTAATGAGTTTAACAGAATTACATGTTTTTTAACAAAGTACAGATTTGGATTTAATGACATAAATTGTTGGAATAATTTTAGGTATGTAATATGAATTTTAATATTTAATTGCATATTGTATTTGTAAAATAAGTATTTAAATATACTGATATTTTTCAAATAAGCATAAGGTTATATATTCGTCACTTAAGTAAAAGTATTATAAAAGTGCTTTAATTTTAAAACATTTAAATATTTAAAATTATCAAAATTAAACATATATTATGAAAATGCGGTCCTTGACCTCATTCCAATTCGTATATTGTTTCAATGCCTTTTATAGGTTAGGAAATGTGTTTATTATAACATTGTACATATTAACAATATTTAATTATTGACAGTTATATTTTGATATATAATTTTTAAACTTATTTGAAAAAATATTTGAAATATTGTTTAATATTAATATTTATAATATAATATCACACATAATATCATATTATAATTTAAAAAAAAAAATCTGATATCACGAACGAATAAGAAACTGTTCTTTGATTTTTTTTATATATATATAGATATGTATATTTAATAATTTTTTTATAAATTTGTCCCTATTAATGAAGAATAAAATTAGAAAAATTTACATATTAACTTTGGTTATTTATTTGCCTTTATGTGATTTTATTTATTTACGCATATTTGAATTTTAATAATATTTATAAATGTTCATGTTATATAAAATTCGTAAGAAATGTTATACGAATTTACATATATGAACTACTTATAATAATTAAATTTAGTTAAATGTTATGTATATAAGAAATTTAAAATTTAATAATTATTTTTATTTTTTTTAAATACAATTATATATATATATATATATTATTATTTTTTAATGAAAATTTAAAAAAAAATAAATATATGTAATTTAAATTCTTAATAATTTATGAAAAATTAAAAAAATAATTTGATATAATCTTTATGGATTTCACTATGAATTTAAATTGAATTAGATTTTCTATATTCTTAAATGTATTATTTTGTAATAAAGTTTTAAGAAATATGAAAAAAGCTAATCATATTCTCTTAAATATAAAAATTGAATATATCTTTTATATATTTTACATACCATAATTATCAGTATTCAATTATAATTGTAGCTATATATGTAATAACTAATATTTTGAATTGTTATAATTTAATTATTGAAATTATTATCTTTTGAAGATATTTATATTATTTTTATATCAATATTTTTCAACGATACTTATTGTTTATATTTATATTAATTATTAATTATAATTAAATTCTAATTGCATGTCAAAATATCGAATGTCATTCATTGCGTTTATTTCGGTCGTTATCTTTGTTTTTCTTGCTATAGTTGCAATACGCAGGGTCTTTGACTTACATGTCATCTTATAATATGCACATCTCACCCGTTCATCTAAATACACAAGTGCAACTAGTGAAATACTTTCTGAATGAACGTAACTGTATAGCGACACTTTTTCTGGCACAAGGCATCGTTAATAGTGGAACGGTGACACCACTCGGGAGAGTTAATGAACATAAAAGACCCATTATTTAGACTTCCGAGATTGAAAAAATATGTATTTTATCGACATTAAAATAAAAAATTTGGAAACTAACAATTTAAAAATATTTTCAAAATTTCCTGATTTATTATTCTATACTTTGCAGTGTATTATAATTTTGCATTTTTGTTTCAATGATAAATGTGTTATTTCAAGTAAAAAATTAAAAAATATCTAACAATTTAAAAGAAGTAAAATTCTTTTGTGATAAAAATTACAAAAAACAATAATCAAAATTACGGTTAAAAATTTTTTAATTCATATTTAAAAATATCATAATTTTCGTTTTTTTTAGATATTAGAAATTTTTTTAATTAGAAAGTAAATATTTTTTAATAATTTATAATAGGATTTTATTTATAAGATCATGATCTTTTTGGAAAAATATTTCAATATTTTATCTTTAATAAAATTAAATAGTTTTAAGCATGCCATATAAGATAAACTATTGATTCAATATTTCAATTTCATTTAATGATAGAAATTATGAAAGTTTCAATTTTATAATAAATATTATTTACATTTCTAAAATGAATACATATTAATAAATGACAAACTTAATGAAATAATAAATATATAGTATATAAAACTATTTATTATAATTATATCTATATTATAATTATTATTATGCAATAATTTGTTTTATCCTTCGTTTTATTAAACATTATTTCATTCTTCATGAATCATAAAAATTATATTTTTCAGGAGATGTGGAATGTAATATTGTTGAATGTGTTTATTTAACGCATTTTGACATGATTGATGAATTGGTGAAATGATGATTTTTCATATGGATTGACAATTAAAATTTACACGTATTTTAATTTCTACCGCAGCTATTGTATACTATTATCATGACGAGTGTCGTTCCACTCACTGATAAACAACTTCACCAGTTGGTAAATGAATATTATAGGAAGATTTTAAAAAGCTTTTTTAAAAACTTGAAAAATGTTTTAAAAAATCATAAATTTGTAATGATTTGGTATAAAAAAATTTTGTTTGAATTTTAGAGCATCTCTATAGGAAAAGCTGTAAATCCTACAGAAACACCTGTAAAAGAGAAACATGTACGAAGTATCCTTTTTAACAAAAAATTCTTTTGTTCTATAATTATTATGTTTTATAAAATATATTATTAATCATATTAAAATCATATTATTAATCATATTAGAATTTGAAAAATTTTTTTGAAAATATAGTATATATACCTTAAGAAATGTAGGTGCGATTATAGGTACACATCAAGAAAAAGGTGGAATGGTATTTTGGCTGTATATATTACGACAGCCATTACAAGAGAATCAAATTGTCGCGTGGAAATTTT